TTTTTTAACTTTAACAACTCTTATACTTTTCATTGATCTTTCTTCTTTATGCTCTTTAATTGCATTATCATATATATATAAAGTTAATAAATCTATACGATTTTGAGAATTAAATTGAAAAATATTTTGAAAGATCCATTCCATTTTACATTTATTATAACTTTTATCAAAACATCCATTATATTTAGACATTAAATTAATTATTTTTCTAGTTGGTTCAATATTTTTAGGATTAAAAAATGAATATCTATTTGAAATTGCTAAAACTGGTTGTTAGTTTTCAACTAATTTAGTTACACATGTTGCTAAATGATTTGCAGATGAAAGTGTTGTATTATTAGGTTGTCGTAATTCATGAATCTCATGAAAATTATTAATATTAAAACAATGAAATATATTTAACTAAAAAAATAATATATTATTAATTAATTTATATAAAAATATAATAATTATAAAAATTTACTTACATGAGAAGTAAAATATTCATTAATTTTTGTTAAGTGATTATTTTTAATTTTTTCTTTAAAATTATATAATGTTTTTGAACTTATCATTATTCCTGCTCTCATAAGAAAATCTATTCCAGTTGAACTTAAACTACAAGATGATAAATATAAACTAAGATCAGTTTTATATTTATTTATATTTTGATTACGTAATCCTGCTAAAAGATAACATTGACTAATAATTTGTTGCTGTGCTTTTTTTTATTTTTTTTAGTCCTTCTTTTAGGCACTAATGCATTAGTCATTTCATCTAAAAATCCAATTAATTGAGGCTCTTCTGTTTCAATTAGTTGTTTAAAACAATCAGAATCTAATAAATAATCATTATTTTTATCTTCATATTTATATAAAGTTTTTGTTAACAATTGTAATTGATTAGAAAATGATTTTTGTTGTGCTATAAAATAAATAGATTAAATTATATTATTTTAAATATTATTTAAATTTTTTTAAATAATAATAATAAACTTACAAATTTGAATTGTTTGATTAATAATTATATCAATTAATTTGTTAAAATTTTTTTTGCTAAAAATTATATCATTTTCAACAATTTTTATCTTTATATTTGAAAAATTATTTAAATCTAAATCTATAAAATTATTTTCTTTATAATTTTGTAAATGATCAATTAGTATATTAGAATTATTTAAACTAATTTTACTTATTTCAATTAAATCTCCTAAATCTATCCAAGTTTTAGATTTCTTATTATTAGATGATTGACTTGTAATAAAATTAACAATATTCATATAATGTTCAAAACAGATTTGATCTTCATTAACTTTTAAATAATCATATGAAAAATCTAAACATTTTTCAATTTTATCTATAAGATCTTGTATTATATTTCTAATAGAATTGACTTGACTATTACAATTATTAATAGCACAAGGCCCAGTAAGTCTTGGATGAGGCATTTTGTAAATTTTTAAAAATAATAAATAACTATTTAAAATAATAAAAATTTTATAAATATATATAACTATATAAAATTTTTATAAATTATTTATGTGAATAGCAGGTCTTTATATAATTTTTTAAAGTGTAGATCATTACTAAATTAAATTTTATTTTATTATATATATATGTTATATGTGAGAATGAAATTAAGAATTCATCTAGGTTCTAAATTATATTACGTAAAATTCTAATTTAGAGTATTCTCGAGCATTAACCTTGTTGTAATTAGCTAGTAATCACAATAGTACATAATAATTTTTAAAATTTTAGCTAAAAATTTAATATACAAATTATGATATAATTGATGTTTTCTCAAGCATTGTTCGTGATGTGATTTGTTAGTAATCGTAATTGTACTTATTTACTACAATTAATTAAAATAGAAATTGAATCAATACTTGAGAAGTTCTTTATTTATTTTTAAATTATTTATTAAATACCACTGTCAAAAAATAAAAAGTAAAAATAAAATGTAGTCCAACACAAAAGAGCTTCTTCAAACACAACCTAGTGAGGTATCAACTTCAGCTGCTCCTATTATCCTCATTATAAATAAAATTTGGAAAAATGTCAACCCAGAATTCACTGGGTTTAAATTCTCATTTATGTTAACTTTTGAATTTAACTAAGAATTATTGACAGAATAGTTGAATTTATAACATGGTTAAAAGGTTATCTGCAGTTATTTTTTGAACTTCTTGATATTTTTTATTTTTCATAGAATCTTTTACAGCTGTTTTCATAAATTCTGAGACAACTGATAAAATTTTGATTACCAAATTTGATAAGTTATTGATTTCAGTTGATTAGTTATTGATTTTAGTTGATAAGTTATTTATTTCGACCGAAATCAGTAACTTATCGAATTTGGTGATCAAAATTTTATTAGTTGTTCCAGAATTTATAAAAACAGCTGTAATAAAGTTAATAAAATAACAATTTGTTATGCCAAAAATGAAGTTCTATAGCAAAGTTACTTGAGTAATCTCTATGAATACTCGATTAATAGTAAAAATTTCAAAGTCAGGTAAAAAAAAAGATGCTTTTTTGTAAAAAGTAAATTAAATAATCAATTATGTAATAATTTTAATAAATTATGAATATTATTAAATATAATTGACTTGCTAAAGAGATTTTCCACTAAGGGTGTTCTCAAGCAACTCTCTCAATATAATCTAGATCGTGCACAAGTATTATAAATAATTCTTATAGCAATATTGTAGAAGACTCAGTGCAGAATACAGATATTAAAAGCGTTCTCAAGCAGCACCCTTAATATGATTTAAAAGTGATCTGAGACATTGCTCAAGCATTATCATTAATTGAAGTAATTATTATGATTAAATGGTAAGATATACTGAAAATTCATTGTACGAATTGTGGATTTTAAATTTTAGCTAATCAGAGCAAACGCTATAAAAAAAATTATTGGTCACAGCTCCAGGTTTTATTCATCGAATAATAACTCTCTTGATTAGCTTATTTGAATTTTGACTAGTTAAAATTTACTCCAGATCTATTGAATGACGACTATCTTTTATTTTTCATTGTGATGAAGAACTCACTTAATCAGCTAAATTATTTTCTGCTAATTAAAAACTGATTTTTAATTAATTGATTTAGGCATTTAAGAACACCTTAAGTAAAATTTATTTTGCGACACTTTTTGATCTATTGATTAAGGCACTTGAAAATGCCCTTAATTTATTTTACATATAATTATTTTAATATATAATTTATTTTGTGCTTTAACATACTACTAAAAATAATTTATTTTGCACTTTAATATATAGGTTAAATCATATACTAATCGGATTACAAAAATTCATAAGCGATTAGCTATAATAACAATACAAGCCAAGCAATACATTCGAGTTTAAATTCAATAGTTATATGCCTATTACATCTACTAAAAAAAAAAAAAAAAAAAAAAATCCATTGAGATCTGAAGCACCGCACATGTGTAATTTAGCTTTGAAATATAAGTTAAACATATAATTTTATTTTGTTTTTTCAGCCAATTGATATGTTCTTGCAAGAGAAAAGATATTTTTTTTTATAAAAAAAATATTCTTTTCTATTTTCGTTACTAATTTTAAAATGAAAGTTATGATTATCATTGACTAGTAGTTGACTCAAACAGAATTTTTCTTATCTATTATCCAGACTTAAGCTCCTTCACTCTGCTCTAGAAATTATAGCATAGGCAAGAGCAGCGGAGCCAGATAAAGAATATCTAATTTAGTAGCCCAACTCTTAGCATTTTATGTCCAACTTACAATCACATAATAGACTGTAGATAATATGGTCATGCTAAATAATTTTGCAGCAAGATTAATGCAAGAGTAGGAGTAATAGAGGCGAATATAAAAGAACTAAAAAAAAAACAA